TACAACTAATTCAATTGACATTCGAACTTCAAAATTGTAGTAGCATCATTGATATTCACATCGTCAGATTGTTTATCAAATTCATGACCCATTCAAGTTGGCCATGTGTAACACGCACACGAGTCAGTTAATGTTTGAACTTCAAAATCATAGTAGGCACGCTCTGATCGTTATGCATCATTACTTGAAATACACAATCAAACACTGTTCTACAGCAGTACAATATGTGAAATAGTGTCTTCGAATCTGGAGACTTCATCTAACAGCTCATCACTGCCATCGTCCTCATCCTCACCATCTCCCTCGGTCATCCGACATTTCTCTTTCTGGCAGCAAAAATAGAGGTGGGCCAGTATAACCAGATAGCTGGCTGATCTTATGTAGATGGGCACGGTGCACATTGTTCACCCTGTGCTGTCGTGCATAGTGCGTCTGCAACTCTGCAGCTAGCAAAGTCGAGTCTATGGCATCCAGGGTGTCTATGGCTGATAGTATCTCCTTGTCTTCAAAGCCGACCCAAGCACTGAGACGACATATTTCGACATTCATAAGCGTGTGAGTTCTTCATGCGAGCGCAGGACTTTAAAGAACTTAGCTGCCATCTCCTGATTTTCAGGAATGGCCCATGGTTTAGCAAGGAGGTCATGACATGAATGTTTCAAGAGCGCAAATTCACCAAGGGACGTATATCCAACAACTTCTGTATAGTCGAGAGTTGGTTGGGGCGGAACTTGGAGTGGTGCCAGTGTGTTGTACTTCTCAAGAGCTGTCCGAATAGCTCCAGATTGCCAAGTGATTGCTTTTGAAATATGCTTGTGCATTTGTACCCTAGTCGAGATTAAATAAAATATCAACAACAAAAAAATATCATACCGGTGCCAGACAGATTAGCCTTTGATAATTCAAACAAATGTTGGATGACTAATTCTTCTAATTTCTCAATGACCTGAGTGAAGCAGCGCTGGCTACAGTATTCGCGTGCCTGAATATACCAAGGGTCAGAAGAAACCCAACACTCATTGATCCCATGACAGCGCTCAAAGTCATCAACAACATTCATCTGCAATTGAAGTCGTCGTAAGGCTGATGCAAGTTCGGCTTCAATAGCCCTAGAGCTGTCGCGAGTAGCAGCATTGAGGCCTGATTGCATAGAGCTTGCAGGGGTGTATGTGAGAAAAGGGACACTCATGACACTGCCGTACTTCGCCCTACAATCAAGTTGTAGTTAGATCAATTTTGAAAAAATAAAGCTTTAAACAAACTCTGCACATCAAAGCTTCTCCAGCTCTTCAACATATGCAACAGCGAATGCATCAGACAGTGACTCAAGTAACAAGTCAGTGAGAAACTCAGATTCTTCAGCCTTCCATTGGACAAAATCTTCATCTGAGAAGGATGTGCGTGTCTTGAATGCATCAAGCAGTGGTGTGTATTCATTAATGATGCGAAGCGCTTGCACATAGTTATTGTGCAAGAAGCGACCTTGAATCATCATTTGAATTAGTTGCACCACCACATTACGTTTAAAACAAAACTAACTTAGTTCCATGTACTTATCTTGATCCCATTGGTCGAAGTGGAGATCAATAAATTGAACCTAATGAAAATACAATGCGTGTCGAATGAGGATTGCTGCGCTATTTGAACTTGAAAAAATCCATTCACAGGTTTCGAGGTCTTCAATGCCAAACCCATTCATATACAAGGGGTGGTTTGCTAGCTGGCATCGGCGGTTGTGGGCGTAGCCATGGAAGGCGTTGACGGCAACAATAAGGTTCGACTGTTCTGCCTTGCTCCAATCGAACTGGCAGCAATAGTCTTGCGCGACGTACAACTGATGTCATGACCAAGACCCTGAAAGCTCCCACAACTATCCAGCAACCGATTAACTGCGGCGAGTCCGTACTTTGCACTGACGTGATTTTAAAATTGTAAAACTGCCCAGAACATTAGTGAATAACATGACGTACAGTTCGCCACTTCGTTTCATTTCTACAATGCACTCTACCAAGCCATGGCGGCATGCCATGATGAAGATTCCTGTTTGCTTGAAGAATGATACCTTGCTTTCTTCAACGGATCTGGCTGTGGTCCAATTTTCAGAGCAGCTCGTACATTGATCAGGAGAGCGTTGACCGGGCCGATTTCTCATGTCATCCTTGAAGAGCTCAACGGCAGCCTCGGTAATGAAGTAATTGCTGTGGAAGGTACGAGGATCTGCCGATCCTGAGCCATCGATACATTTTGCCGAATGGTTGCCGTCCATGCTGTGTAATCGTCGTGGGATAAGCTGAGGTTCATTTGGTTGCTGAACATTTGAGAAGTTTAACGATAAATGTGAAATAATGTGTGGTGTTACATACCTCAAATGCACAACACGGACAAGCACCTCGGAAGTGCCAGTCCTTCGGATCCCTCTTGAGCACAAGATTAACCCGCTGTCGAACATAATGCAATACTTCAAGATAAATGTCGAACACTATTTTCTTGTGTCCCATAGCTCCTTGTTGTGTGGTCCAGATGTGCGGTGTAGTATAGTAAAAATGAAGCAAGGTATTGATACTAAGCAAATAGAAATATGTAGAGACAAAAAAAGCGCGTTGAAACAATGATAATTGAGCTAAATATCGAGCTCGTCATATGAAACGATGAGCGTGATGGTGTAGTGGACATGGGAAACAGCGGAGAGGCTACGTGACACTAACGGCAGCAAGTTCCAAGGGTACATAAATAGATACTATGCTAAATATATCATATATACATTTTATTACAAATAACATATATTCCCTTCACCCCAAGGTGACTGCTGAGTGCTGCGAGATTTGCTGAAGTACCGCAGTACAGATTCTCGCCCCTAGTCAGTAACAAACATCCGATTGTGTCAGTGTTACTAATGAGTAACGTTTATGGTGACACACAGGTGTCCAAACGTCGTGCACACAATTGAGTCTTTTTGTTTCTGTCAGGACGAGCTCATTGCTAATAACTGGGACACTCACATGTTCCGAGATGGCTCCTATTCTGGCCACCCTGTGATCCCTGGGGGAATTAAACTCCCTACTGGAGGTCCTCGCTCTGGACGGACCTGGAAAGAACGCCTCCGAGAACTCCAAGACCATCATGCACACACTTGACACCTTATCCATCTCATCAAAACAGTCCTTTCGACTCGTATGCTTGCGGAAGCCACCAACCGCGCGAAAATTATCCAGTGCAACAAATTGTTGCACATTCAGGGCGGCTATACTAATAAAATCTATTCTGGCCGCTACGACAACGTTAATCCTTTCTTTTCAGAGAGCGAGGCTAAGCGTCTCAACTCATATGCTGCCGTTGCCAAAGCTCACGGGGAACCTGAGTTGGCCTCCAAAATTTTGGATGCTCTACTAATGCCTTTCCCCAATGAAGACACCATCTATGCTCTCACAGATTCTCAACTTCTCGACGTTGGAAACATGCAAGATATTTGCGCTTTGCTCACGAACGAGATCTCGTGCTCGGAATCAGGCGCATGGGACTTGTTACTATTGCTACCTTGCCTTTTCGGTCCGAAATGTTTGACGACCTCTTCTCAAAAGAGTGGTATGTCCTTTCGGATATTGATGAAGAGGAAGATGAAGGTCCCATGAAATTGAAGAAGTTCTTTCTTTAGTCATCTAGAGGTGAACATCCGTTTTTTGATACTCTTTTACCACTTATACCCTTTTTTAACAGTAATCATATATTTTCGAAAATTCCTATCCCCGTTTTTCATATCTCGACTCCGTTTTTCGATCCAGCGTGTTATTTCCCATCATGGCTCTTATTCATTCACCCCACACATCAAATAAATTCAAAAACACAGACCCTCCGAGTCTTGACTCTATCTACTTGTACTTGTATCGCCATTCTCATCTCGATTTTGTTTCTAGCGTCCGACATCATTTGTTTGTTTTTGTTTGTTCTCTTTGTTTCTAGTGCAAGTCTCTATTTACAAAACCTACAATGCAGGCTTCTATGTACGTTAGGTATGCTATGGAGAAAAGGTGTAAAAAGTCAAGAAGTGATAGCTTTAGATACGAGTTACCTGTTCTGTAATTCAAGTCTTTTGCGGTCCGAAAATTCGTCTGAATTCCCTAAGTCTAAACAAAACCAAGTTTTAAGTCTAAGTCTCACAGACATACCTGAGAAAGCCTCGAACACTGAGATATTAGTATACCCCCAAGACATACTCGAAGGGGAGACAATAGCAGAGTGTTACGAGAGGCTTACTAAGTACCCAAACCAAGTTAAAGCACACAAAAATGTATCAATAGAATCAGATTTTTTTTGAAGACTCAGACTATGATTGCGATACCGAAAGCGAGTCTGATGTTCTTATTTCGTGTGATCCTACCGATGACCCTGAGACCACTCCAGTACTAACTATGTACAAGAGGGTTGACAAGAAAGTCAAGCCTGTATCAGGTACCTTTCCTCAGGAAGCTCGTGTAGATTGACATTTTCCACACGACCCTCTCCGTAATTTAATCGCAATAACCCCGCATCCTCCTGAGTTCATTCCTAGTGGACGACTATCCCAAGAGTGTATGGATAGCCTAAAAATAAATCCACAAGGATTTCTTTGGCTCAAAGAGGAGAAACTTTTCAAACATATCATGAATCTAAATCAAGACACCCTTGCATTTGAGGAAACCGATAGGGTACCCTCAAAGAATCATACTTCACCCCTTATATAATTCCTACTATACCTCACGCCCCCTGGGAATACAAGAACATTCCTATTCCTCCCGGGATACGACAGAAAGTTATTGAACTTCTCAAATCAAAAATCAATGCAGGAGTATACGAACCGAGCCAACCCGCTTACTGCTCTCGATGGTTCTGTGTACTCAAGAAGAATGGTAAACTAAGACTAGTTCATGATCTCCAACCACTCAACAAGATATCTATCTGAGACGCTGGACTGATCCCTATAGTAGATGATTTTGTTCAATCATTTGCTGGAGCACAGTGTGATACCGTATTCGATTTATTCTGGGGATTTGATGCACGTAAAATGCACCCAAATAGCAGAGACCTAACAGCTTTCCTAACTCCCTTAGGATTGCTACGATTAACCGTGTTACCAATGGGATATACAAACACACCTGCAGAATTTCAGAAATGCACAAGCTTCATGCTGCAGGACGAAATTCCCCACGTGCCAAATGTTTTCATAGATGATCTTCCGGTCAAAGGACCAAAGACAATCTATCCTGATGATGAAGGAAATCATGAAGTCTTAGAAGAAAACTCAGGGATTAGAAGATTTATTTGGGAACACACTAATGATGTTCACCGAATCATGCACCGTATAAACGACGTTGGCGCCACTTTTTCTGCCACTAAAATACAATTATGTCTTCCTGACGTCCTCATAGTTGGACAATGATGCACTCCAGAAGGAAGATTACCTGACACAGAGAAAGTATCTAAGATTTTGAATTGGCCAATTCCCTCAACAGTCAAAGAGCCATGAGGATTTATGGGACTTTGTGGGACAGTTCATATCTGGATACTAGGATTTTCTGAGCTAGCTAAGCCTATTACTCAGCTTTGGAAAAAAGATGCCCCTTTTATTTGGGGAGAGAAACAAGACTATGCATTCGAAACTTTGAAAGAACGTATATGCTCTGCACCAGCAATGAGAAGCATTGACTATACCTCTTCAAACCCCATATACCTTTCAGTAGATTCCAGCTTCATAGCTGGAGGAATCATTCTCTCTCAAATTGACAATGACAGAAAATGATGTTCAGCTCGATATGGTTCTCTACCAATGGGAGAAGCAGAATCACGCTATTCACAACCCAAGCTGGAACTTTATGGACTTTTCTGAGCATTACGACATTATCGACTCCACATAATTGGAGTACAAAACCTTCACATTGAAGTTGATGCCAAATACATTAAGGGCATGCTTAACGAGCCTGACCTTCAACCTAACACAACAATCAATAGATGGATTCAAGGAATCCTTCTCTTTGACTTTACACTTCACCACGTACCCGCCACTAGTTTTAAAGGCCCAGATGGCTTATCTAGACGACCTCTAGCCTCAGATGAAAAGATCATTCCTGAAGATGACTCTTGGCTAGATGAGATAGCATTATTTACATCTATCACATCACCATCCACACTTCCATACAGCTCAACAGAGCTACCATCCTCATTCCTGTCAGCTGCTGATCAAGAGCAGACACTGAGAAACATCTACAAATTTCTCACAACCTTAGAAGCTCCAAGCTTTGATAGTAGAGCAAAGCGTAGAAAATTCGTTAAACGCACAACCAAGTTTTTTGTTCAGAAGGGAAGAATGTACAAACGTCTACTAGACAGACCACCCTTACTTGTAATATTTGAAGCAGATAAGCGAATTTCTATACTCACGGGAGCACACAAAGACTTAGGCCACAAAGGTGTACAGTCCACCTTTGAAACAATACGATACCGATTTTTCTGGCCCCACATGTATACTGATGTTAAGCACCATGTACAGTCTTGTCATGAATGTCAGATCCGCACCGTTAAGAAAATGCATATACCCATTACTATCTCTACACCAGCCACAATATTCACAAAGATTTACATTGACATACTCAAGATGCCAGCTGGGAGCAGTCTGAAGCATCTAGTGTTAGCTCGAGATGATCTTTCACGATTCGTAGAAGGTAGAGCATTACAATCTGCCTCCGCTAAAGCTATGGCCAGGTTCTTCTGGGAAGACTTGTACTGCCAATATGGCGCCATAGGACAGATTGTCACAGATAATGGCTCTGAAGTTAAAGGAGCATTTCAGAAGTTACTTCAGCAAGTGGACATTCCACAGATTCAAATTTCACCCTACAATTCGCAAGCTAATGGGGTAGTTGAACGTGGACACTTTAATATCAGAGTAGCAATAGTAAAAAGTTGTGGAAAGCACATCTCACATTGGCCTGAGAAAGTTCCTCAGGCACTCTTCACAGAAAATATCACCACCAGCCGTGCAACTGGATTCTCACCATTCTACCTCCTACATGGAGTACATCCCGTTCTACCTTTCGACCTTAGTGAAGCTACATTCCTTGTTGAAGGGTTTCATGCAAATATGAATCCCGTTGATTTCCTCATCATGAATGGTAAAGACCACATACATCAATTCAGTTTGCGAGATGAGATTTCAGGTATCTTTGATGTCCTTCTGGAGGATTGTAATAGACTCCATGAGGATTTCATTTTTCACAACATAAGTATTCACTATCGACAAATGTTATACTACTGGGATCGTAGATACCAGGAAGTATTACTACAATTATGCCCAACATGCGCAGTATATTTCGAGTTTTTCAGGATTCTGGAGGAATTTTTTCACCTTGCAGATCCAGAGAATAGATGGAGAGGAGAGAGACATATTTTGATACCATGACACACTCAACTGAGGACAGTTGTGATTTCTCGTGCCGGGTGGATGTCATGCATGGCATGCAACTCATACCATGACAGATACACAAGAGGTGTGATAAGACCCTCCTAAATTTCCCAAAACCCATGCTTTGTAGTGAATTCATCATCAAATGTTTCCTGCCCTATAAATCCATTAAGATCACAGGTCACAGCTGGTGTCATTTGCACTTGGTAGTATTCTAGTTTGGGCGAAGCAAGATGGTGAAGTGTAGATAGATCTTGATAAGCATAATGAAGAGCATATGACACATAGTGTTCATTTTTCTTAGATATCAAATAATCAAAGTTACTGATTTGAATGTCTCTGACATATATACAGATGTTGTTCCCTGAGATCAGTATGAATGCCATCATGAATATAATTCAACAAGGATTGAAGAAGATAAAAGATGCCTTCATCACTTACATCCAATGCCTCAATGAGACAATTGATGTTACTTGCCTCCAGGAAGCTGAAGTGATATTCTTAGTTGATTAGGAAGGTAGTGTCAGAGTGATGAATATCATGGTAGAGTCAACCTCTCATGCTTGATACAAACATTGGCATAGGAAAGCCTAATTTAAAGCCAGGCATGAGCCTAAGTGTATCAAAGCCAGCAGACATGGAATCTCCCATATTTACCATCTGAATCTGAGTCTTCAGCTTCAGAAGCATCCAACAGTCATTCTCATGGATGTCTCAAGTGCAAGCAGCATTCCATCTCTCAACCACCTCCTCACAAGTCCAACTGACTAGTAGGAGACACTACACTTAGTAGTACTTGAAGAATGATAGTCTGTGTAAGCAGCTAATGGTAAGAGCTGGTGATATTGACTTAAGGATGATAAAGAAAATTAACTGTGTGAAAGTGTGGTGCCACAGGTATAGGCCACAATCTATTTGATGTTTGTTTACAAGTGGACAATACCAGTGGATTTGAACTTTTTAAAACCATTGATGCATATGACTATATGATCCTTAGTGGATACATTGCACAATTATCAGCCACAGATAAACTTTAACTTCATTTGACAGTAGAAGATCATATGACTTGACATATATGCACATCCAGCATGTGCACAGCAAATTATGTGATCCTTAGTAGATATTTTATCTACAATATGTATGGTACCTCAACAATATAGTGACAAATTATTGTTTTACACAATCACACAATGTATTGCATGTATATGGGCAGTATTGTTTTCTTACTTGCTATGATGGGGCAGATGGTAATTGAGCACAGCTTGATATCTATAAGGTATTTTCTAGTCTTCTCTCCCTCTCAGCCGGAAAAAACACAGTGCAAGCCCTATTGAAAGATTGATCCTATCATGTAAAAGCACCATTATGCTGAAAGCCAACTTTACCTTTGACTCTCCATAACTCTGGCAGATGAACAGGGGTATGTTGATCAATATATATATCTGCAGATAGCTTATTGAAAATATCATAAAGGGTAGGTCTCCACTTAGATGATAGTTGGAATACCTGTCCTCTCAGGTAATAGACTGTAGCAGCTCAAGTTGCAGACTGCTCATTGAAGTGAAAAAGATACTCATTTGGAATGGCATCTTCATTGCAGGTGTTTGCTGGCTCTAATTTTTTTTTATTGACCAACATGACATGATTGCTAGCCTTCATAGGTTTAAGTTGATGCAATGAAACGGGTCCTCTTAGATGTTTACATAGCTGCATGGTCCAAACTCAATTTACCTAGATAGTAGTATATCTAGACTCAGAGCTTTGTTCAGTTACCTTCTACTCTAGAACCCTTTTGGCTCTGGAACTCAACTATAACACCCATGACAAGGAACTCCTAGCTATCCATGAAGCTTTCTGGACTGGTAATACTACCTAGAAGGCTCTGCCAAACCTATCAACATCACCATGGATTATAAGAACCTTGAGTACTTTACAACCACCAAACTTCTCTCCCACCATTAGGCATATTGGTTGGAATTTCTCTACCAGTTTAATCTCATTATCTGTTTTCATTCCAGGAAACTTGGTGCCAAACCTGATTCTCTTATCTTCCTTGAAGCTGGTACACAATGCTGACCTGATGCTAAAATAAGTGGCTGCTTATCCTTGAACTGAAGTTCCTTCAAAGTCTCAAGGTCACTCTAACTTCCGTTCAATGCCTGTCCAGGGAAAAGATAATTTTTCTGAGAAGCTTTACGCATTGCACAATGTTTATGTCTGGATGATCTGGACTCCGAACATATCAAACTCATGTGGGAAGTCTCTGAATTTTCCATTCCTTTTCTGGACATGCTTATTTATATTAATGTGTTCCATGGGAACATCAAGCATAAGCTTTACAAAAAGAGACTGAACCACTTAGAGAGGGTTCCATGGATGTCACACCACCCTAAAGATATTAAAAAGGGTACCTTTATTGGGGAGATGTCAAGGTTGGTGACTCTTAACTCCACTTTTGATGGATATGTGGAGTCTATACATGAATTAAAACTCTTGTATATTCACAGGGGATACCCTAACAACCTTCTGGAACACTGGATTCGGACACATTACACAAAGTGTTGGAATAACTGCTTAAGCAGCGGAAATGCAGGCCAAATGGATGTTTTTGTTCTGAAATCAGAATTTAATCCAGCATGGACCCTCTTTAATGTCCATGAGCTTGGAGATACTATCACAAGCCACTGGCGCTCTCACCTGTTCATGTTATATGAACAACAGAGAGAGTTTTGGCAATCCATTGACAAACCTTTGGGAGAATGGTTTAGGCCTTTACCAACGCTAGTCCCTCAGGACTGGATGTCAGATTTTCTCACTGAGCAAGTCTTTGATGTCATCAAAGCTGGGCTTTGCAATAGAAGATTCTTAGTTTCTAGGAAACAAACAGCTACTATGTTTGATCTTACCAACACATGGAAAAAGTCGTTACTCTCTGACACACTCCGCACTTTCGATGACGAAATTGCCAATATCCTCGTGGACGACGATACATAAAGTTTTCTGCCTCTTGTGTTTTACAGTTGATCTCATTCACAGATCAGTGATTACCAACACAGTGTTACTTTTATCCTTTAAAAAGTAAGGCGCATCTACCATTATAATTGCAATTATACGATGATCAGATTTTGCTTTTGCAGAATCCCTGTTCATTGCTACCTGCGTGCTGCTGGCGCAGCACTAGGTAGCTCCTCCAGGTATTTTTTTTTTGAAATTCCTGGAGTTGTATAATATTTCACGAAAACCTATTCATCACGTGACCCTCACATTGATCCTCATGTGACATGTTCCCACGGAAACATGTCTTTTGATTGGTAAGCCCGGCCCAGGTGGACTCGATGAGATGTGGGAAACGGAAGATGTTCTTCCACCCTGTAGGAAGCAAGGCCCCTTATCTCTTTAATTAGGGTTAGGGTTCAGCCCTTGTGGGATAAAGATCTAGGCCGCCTTTGGGATGCCCTGATGGAGGTAGTAGGGTGATACCTATTATTGGCCCCATCAGATTAGTCCTTTAATGGATGTCATTTGATTAGCCCTTCTATATCGCCATCGCAGTACCTAGTTCATTTCCATGTGGAAGCCTGGACCCCTTATCTTTTGGTGTGAGTCATCGTGACTGATGCTTCTCCTCTATTATTAGGTTTGGATCAAGGGTTAAAGAACCCAGATCTTTGTGATGTGTGAAAACCTCTATTTATGGAACAATAGATGTGTCCTTTATATATTGATTGGACAATAGGAAACTGGTCTCCCTCGGGATCCAGCAGTACGAATTGTGATCATACCTATGGTATGACAAGGGTGGGAATGCTTCTAGATAAGCACTGACCACTCTCCTCACCTTATAAACCCTTGAAAATTTTGCTGATGAGCTACCATTGCAAAATTTGCCTCCTTCCACTAGCTTGAAAGGGTAACTTCAAAGTTTTGAAAATATTATCAGCAACCCACCCTTAAACCTTGTTGGTGCAGTCGCCCCTCCCCCCCGAAGGGAGGGGCTCCCCGTTTACTTCAGTTGAATTTTGGGCCTCTATGTTGATCTTTTGGACTCCAATCTTGGTCTTGTTCACAGTAACATCTAACTGATGTGTTTTTTTTTTTGCCAAATCAGTGTTGTTTTCTGCTTTGGCCTGCACTGGTCATTTATTGAGTCTAAATATGTTGCTTTGCAATGTCATCAGTTCATTGTATATCATTGTCTTCACTAACATTACATTTGACTTACCCTACCTTAAGCCGTTGTAGAGGCTTGTGCCTCCACAGGTGCATATGGCCTATACCACCACTCAGGACCACTGGACATCACTGCATGATTCACACCATCATCATCTCTAGTCAACCTCTATAGAGTGCACCACTTTCCCATGAAGCGCACCATAGGTGCATTACTTTCCCACACTATGTGCAGCATTCCCATGCATGTACCATGCACACTTTCTCATGCTTAAGTGCCTTGCATCACCCATCATTCAGGAGCATCCATCCATTGTCTATCCAGCCCACAGGTACACATTAGTTCACTATCTTTACTATTAATGTACCTTTCATTATTACCTACACTGTATGGCACCATTTCCCATGGGCCCGGTAGCTATTACATGGCACTTTACCTCACT